AAATTAATATATTGTAGTTAACTAAAAGCAAAAGTTATTTGTTAGGAGTGAGTTATGAGTGCTAAACAAGTATATATGTATATTATATGCATACATATATATTACATCTATCACATAGTTACTTATTAAATTATCATGCCCATTGTGTTGCAAAAGAAAACAAAGGCAAAACACAAATGCCAGACAGAGAGGCAGCAAAAGCAAGCAAGTCAGTGTGGGTAAAAGGGTGCGAGCGGAGGGGAAATACTTGGTATTTCTATATGTATGTGTGTGTGTGTATGTGACGTCATTATGTAATCAAATCAAATAACGTTTTGTACATTGTTCAATTTCTTGTTGTTGCTTTGATAAAGACAGACAGCAAAAAAAAAAAAAAAAAAACCAACAACAACAAACGAAATAAAAATGCAAATTTATTTGATTTTTATTATTTGTGAAGCGATTGTTTCTCGCTTACAGCATATTTTTTGTTTCTTTCGTTCGTTTGCTTTCGATGTTTTATTACGTGACAACTTTGAATTAGTCTTGCGTTTGTTTTGTCTTGCGTTTTAATGCCAATGGCCCGCCCACTCGCTGCCGCCCCCACTATAAGCAATAGCAACAGTAAACACTTTCGAGCAGGAGGAGGAGGAGTAGAACAGCGAGGCGAGCGCATAAAACGCAGAAATAGAGTGGAAGAAGTATGCTTGATATTTGACTCCAAGCTTTAGAAGTGTTTGCCAGGTCAGCAGCGGTTAACTACAGGTCAAGAGGTCACAAAAACTGATAGCGAACAAGCTGGGGAAAATTGCTTTGTTTAGAAATATATCAAGATGTTACTTACAGAGTCTGTGGGTTATACAAAACTCTAGTTTTTATGTGAAACATAGTCTTATGATTGGTTGTGATCGAATATAGTATACCCTGTAGTCAGTATGCATAAACAGGTATAATAATAAATAAATGGTATAATTTTATTATTAAGGAAGATAAGTGAAAAAAATAAAAGGGCTAATTGAATATAATCGCATATGATATCATATATAGATGAATTGAATAATCTCTTCATAGAAATTAGGCATTTAGAAAGTATTTAACGACTATCTACCCCATTGATCCAGTACAGGGTATTAGAGATAGACGTTATAAAGCATATTCTGAATGACTAAAGTATAGGATTATTTAGAAGATAAGTATTATCCACATCCAAGACTTAAGTGCTTCAGTCAAAATTCATCAACTCTTTTGGTCAACTCGAAAGACATTAAAATTATAAGAATATGCCATATATTCTATATACATTCGCTACTACTGTCTTAAACTATGGACTACGATATACCCTGTACGAATATAAGATTAACTTATATAATTAAGCGATTATCTAAAAGACTAATACAAAATAACTAGGCTACATTTGTTGGAAAACAATAATTAAGCTTACATTTCTGTATTCCTTACATAAGCAAGGTTGCTTGATGAAATGCATAGCCAGACAATTTATTAGCTACCTGAACTTAGTAGTTAGATCCATCGATATCTATGACAATTTTACGTAATTGGATGTTCGAAGCTAATTGAAATGTAAAATGATTTATTCATTCACCAATTCACAGCTCACACCTTTCCACTCACATATCATAAATGAATTTAAATTTCAAAATTATCATGATGAAGTTGCTGTTGTTGTTGTTGCTGCTGCTGCTGTGGCTGTGGCTGTTATTGTTGTCTTGCTAATTAAGTTGTAAGTCCTAATTAATGCTGAGCGATTAAAATGCATTGCCAAGTGCTGCTATGAAAACAATTAAAGCCCCAAGATGTAGATAGACACCAGCGTACAGATTAGTCTAAGACAACCTATAAGGTATATGTACACACACGCACACATGCACAGAGTATATAGTAAGAAATGTTTATATATACATATGTATATCATTCACATATCTTTTGATCTACAACTGAAATGAACTGACCCCGGGGTAGCTAAGTTTAAGTGCTGGCCCAAATGTTGCTCTTTGGTGTCACATAAGCAACAACTAAAACCAACAACAACAACAACAACTACAGCAACAGACAACAACAACTTTTGGATAGCAAACAGACAACTAACACAACAACCGAAAACGTTTACGAAATGCAGCGTGCCGGGCCTCCGGACGTCGAAATCAATTTTGCGAAATTTGTTTATTTATAACATTAAGACGTAAACCTGACCAGCGACAACAAACAACAACAACAGCAAAGTAAATCGACATAAATCATAGAAGACTAATGTGATACACTCACGAATAGAAAGCTACGTTTTAGATCTGGTTTCGAGTCAAAACTTAAGTTTATATTAATGTTTTTCTATTTGATTATACAAAGACTCTTGACTCTTTATATATGTACAAAGAGGAAGTACAAAAGTTAGATAGATAATTTATAGATTTATGCCTGCAGAATATTATACGAATATTTGAAAAGTGTAAGCTTGTTGTATGTCGTAGAAGAAATCGAAGTGTATGGACAGAGAGAAGAAAGCGTGGATAGGACTACCGAAAAATAAATAAACTAATTATAAATAATAAAAAAAAAAAATAAATAAAAGGTGGTATTCCTTCTAAACTAAACTCTTTGTCTTACATCACCTCAGGCATTTTGAGTAAATTTTAAAGCCAAAGTATTTAAGCTTGGCTTTGTGTCAGCTACCTTCATTTGTGCCTTAAGCTGTTCTCTGGTTGCTGTTGTTGTTGTTGTTGCTGTTGTTGTTGCCTGTGAAACCGCAAGCGCAACAAATGCAGTTTATAAGTTGCAAGCAGCGCGAAATATTACAAACGAACTTAACTGAGCCAAAAAACAAAGCCAAAGGCGATGACGACGCAGCGAAACCCTCGACAGGCCCAGACCCAGCGGCAGCTACAGCTTTAGCTTTTGTAAATGAACACAACAACAACAACAACAATAACAACAACAGCAACGACAACAAAAAAGGCTAAAAATTGTTGCCACTTAAAAAAAAAAGAGAATAAAACACATCGAAGTCGGCGGCTTAGCATCGCGGCGGCACTTTTTGTGTTGCTGTTGTTGTTGTTGTTGTTGCTGCTGAAGCACTTTGCAACAATTTTTGTGGCCAACAGACAAATCCAGGCAGCTGGGGGAAGACAGTCGAACAGCAGCAGCAGCAGCAGCAGCGGCAACAATGTGTGAGTGTGAGTTGTGCAACAAATATGCGCACACATATAGATTGTTTTTTACTCGGGTTGCTCAGATTGTTGTTGTTGTTGTTGTTGTTGCCACACGCAACAATTTCGCATGTTGAATGCTTTTTTTTTGGGCACTTTTCTTGAAATGCGAGCGATTTGAGCTGCTTGAATGATATTGAAAATTGATTTTCAGTCGCGCATGTGTCGCACACACACACACACACACACACGCACAGCTTTGTTGCAACACATGCGCCTCTGCCCGTCTTCTGGCTGCCTCACCCCGTTAGATCTGCCATTTGGGCTTTGTGGCAAGTTCCTTCATCATTTTGGCCGCAAGCTAAATAAATCAGCGCTTGTCTGCAGCTCGGGCTTGCACACAGAAAGGTAGAGCGGCGGCAGAGCAGCAGCAGAGCGACGGCAGAGCTGGCCGCAGCTCAGGGCTTTGGCTCTGTCGACGCTTGTCCAACTCGGTTGTTAGTTGTTGGTGTTGTTGTTGTTGTTGTTGGTTGCTCTTTGTTGTGCTGCTGCTGTCCATCAAGTTCTTGCCGGTTCGTCCCGTTTTTATTTATTATTTTGTGCTGGTTTGGCTCTTTTTTTTTTTGTATTCCTTTCTGTCTTATAGAGCCGTTGCCTTTGCTGCAGACAATCGGATGGGCAGACAGACAGACAGACGGGCAGGCGGGCAGAACTCCCCCGAAGCGTAGCTGCCACAGACAGACAGTGGCGTGTCTTGTATCTGCCGCTAAACATCATCAACGGGTCAGCGTTGCAAGTTGTTGCCAGTTGCTGCCGCTGAACTTTGTGGNACAAATTTAAGACAAAATTAAAATAAAATAAAATTTATTTCTTCTAATCTATAAAATTTGGGATTTGTCAATGAAAATTTCATCAAATTAAAAGAACTGAGTCTTAACATACTCTATCTATTACTTTAAAATGTTTTGAATATCAAAATAAAAAACAAATACAAAAATAAAAATAACAAAAAAAATAAATAAATAAAATTATCAAACTCTATTTCTGCAAAGAGTGAATCTTAGTTCATATCGAAAATGCGATCAATCGAAATGACGTCAAATGAGTAGAGCAGCAAAATCGTATCAATTACGTTCAATAATACTGAATATCTGAATACAAAACATAGATATTATAAACAAGAGAAAGTGTATTTTACAGTTCAACGATTGACGTGCTCTAAATTCATGCCCTTCTCTCCACATGGACAAACACGCCCAGATAAGTGTCATACTCAAAAGGAAAGTGTACTGGACCAGTTAGCAACTCAATTCGCCCCATTAATGCAATGCAATTACTATAAAAACCAACAATTTAGATCAAACATGATATATTGTATTATGTATGGATACACAAACCCACTCATTTAAGTTGAACATCCACAATTTGTAGAGTATAATGGAAACGTAGGCCATTCACTTGCCCATCAGCACCTCTTTCCCATTGCGGCATTAAATTACAAGAGTCGTCCAGTCGATCGGACAGGTGAGCCGCTGAGCCACCTGCAATCCGCATTGGACGCGCTCATATATCAGCTGATAGATTTTTGGATTTGGACGACGACGCGGACGCCGACGCCGACGTCGACGCCGGATGCTCAACATTATTTAGTTTGTATTTTCGCACATTCTGCATAAATTAAATACAAGTCGAGTGGCTCAATGGCTGCGATAGCCGTTGGCCAGTTTAGTTGGCGTCTTTCTGTGGAACGGTTCGGTTCGGCTTGGAGCGTGGGCCACTCGCATGGCGTCTCACTAAGCGAAGGCAAACAAAAACAAAAGCAAATATTTATAGCATAGTGGATATCAAAGCTTATTTATAATGTGTGAAGACTTAGTTTGGCCACCGCTGTCGCTGCTGTTGCTGCTGCTGCTGCGACTGTCGCCCGCCTCGACTGCGGCGCCGGGCAGAGAAAGCGTTAACCAGCAGCAGCTTCTCCAACCTTATCCAGCTGGTGTGGATTTGTTTGAGCATGAGTTCACCAGCGTGTCGGCAGGTACGTCTAGTTATCAATTCCAGCTGTTTCACATACTTAGCCTCTAACTCTCTCTCTCTCTCTCTCTCTCTCCCTCGCCTTCAGATGACTTTGATCCGTTTGGTCCAGATATTGGAAACGATGATCTGGGCATTGATGATCCCGAGACAATGCCGCGTTTGTTTCAAGGCGATATTGCCATAGATCCGTATACGTACATCACGCTGCGTCTGGGCGTGAATCCCATGCGGCATCCCAAGCGCTTGTGGCCCAATGGCACGATACCTTTTGAGATAAGTCCGCGGTATGACAACAGAGAGCGCAATTTGATAGTGAGGGCTCTGAAGACATTTAATTCGCTCACCTGCATCCGGTTTACGCCATACGATGGCGAGGTGGAGGATTATCTGCTTATTGAGCCACCCGAGGATGGGCCGCAGGGCTGCTGGTCGTATGTCGGCAAGCGGGGCGGGGAGCAGGTGGTCGCCCTGCAGCAGCCCGATGAGACAAGCGCCCACTGCTTCAGCAGCGAAGGTCGTATCATGCATGAGCTCATGCACGCCATTGGCATCTATCATGAACAGTCCCGCGCTGATCGGGACAACTTCGTCAAGATTCACTGGGACAACATTGTGCCGCGGTTCAAGAAGAATTTCAAACTTGTGTCGCGCAAGCGGGGCAAATATGCTTTCGACTACGACTACAACTCGGTGATGCACTACGGAGAGTACTATTTCAGCAAAAAGAAAGGAGAGAAGCCTACGATGACGCCGCTGCAGCCGGGCGTGAGAATTGGACAGCGGAAGACGATCAGTAAAATTGACTGTTTGAAGATAAACGATTTGTACGGCTGCTTGAAAGGTCGGCGTGCCAAAATGTATAAAAGCTTTTGTCATTTGTTAGGTTTGTAAGCGTTGTACTATTTATTGTTATTTGAATCACATTGATTTACTTATTTAATAAATTATATCACGATTTACTGCGCTCTCTTATTATTTAAAATAACTGTCACTGAATTGCTTGAGTTTTACAACATCCAATAGATGGCGCTTTCTATTTTGTGCTGTTTAAGCTGGACACGTGGCCAGTTAAATTTACTTTTAAATAAACAACAAAAAGCAAATTTAACCATCAAAATATATTGGCATTATTGTAATAGTATTACTACTAACCAGAGAACACATAGACTAGACATGTAGAACAAATATTTCTACAGCAGAAAATGTTAAGTTGGTTGTGTTCTCTGGTCAGTGGTAATAACAAGGAATTTTTATATATTTATATCGTAAGAATACATAGATCAGCTGGTGGCACAAACAGCTGCTGATGCGAATTGAAGATGAATAATTTATTCGGCTATGGATCTTAAATTTGATTGTTATTCGAATTACATTGATTTTCAAGTATAAATATAAATATACAATGGCGCGCATTTTACAATTTTCAAGTATCTGCAAGTCCATGTCGTTGCCGTACTGGTTGATGGTTAGTGGCAATACTAAATAGATGGCGCTTTATCTTAGTAGTCTTTGAGTTGCATTCCAATACATATATAAACGTTTTTATCTAATTAAATGAATAAATATACAAAAAAAAAAAAAAAAGACAAACTAATTTAAACTTAAAGTACTTATCATTTATAGTTGCATAATGAACTTAATTACATGGAAAATAGCACATGTTATATTGTTTCGCGCGCGCAATAATCGACGAAAATATCGATTACGCGGTAGCAACCCTCGCTCGTGAGCCAGTTTGGTGCCAGTCGATAGTTTGTTGCTTCAATATCGCAAGCAAGAAATCATCGTCTTTCATTTCCATTTTGGACGAGGTTAGGTAAGAACACGCGCGCATCTGCTTGCACGAGTTAGATGCATAATAAGTGAAAAATAATAGTATTAAATTTATATATTTGGAAGCTTAGTAAAATATGTTAAAATTAGTGCAATATGTAACTCGTAAATCGTGCGAATCTGCAGTGCTTCCCGCCTGCAGTTGGCGCAATTTATTGATTTCACCACAGAGCGTGGAAAAATGTATAACGCAACGCCGCCATTTTCTTTTTTGTTCGACCAACAGAACAACCAGCAGCAGTCGTGCTTTGCTCTGCAGAGAACACCCACAGCAGTTCCAAGGGAGCCCGTCCAGCCAGGAGTCAACAGTACCCACATCTAGAGTATTATCTAGTTGCTCCCAGCAGGCACAGCGTGCGTTTCATATATCGTCAACTCGATACGAAACATCCAGATCAGTCGACGAAGCACTCCCAGCAGACAAGCCAACTACTGATTTGTCCAGACGTACGAGGAAATCACTTTTTATTGATCCAGACGAGCAATCAGAGGAAATCAAAATTGAAGGAATAATGTAAGTAATACAATATATAAAATATTAAAATTCTAGTTAAGAAAAATTTAGGGGTCTTTAAATTGTGTGTATGTATAGTATATGTATGATGGGCATATGTTTGTGTGTGTTTGTTGGTTTTTTCCGTCGCCATTTTCTTGCCCACGCTTTGCGCTAACGTTCGTAAAAGTCTGTATACGTTGAAACTCAACGATGAGTAATTAATGGAGAGTTAAAAATGACGGAGAGAAAGCAAACAGCAAGAGGCAGTCAAGTTATTCACTTTTTCTGTATATTTGTATTTTTTTTTTTTTTTTTGCCCACAAGCAACAACTAATAAATAATGAGAGCAAACCACAAAAAATAGAAGAGGGGGGAAACGTCAGTGTACGTCATAAAAAGAATTGGCTTGATTTGTGAAACGTGTCTTTACTTCGTTTGCTTTTTTATAGCATTTTAATTTGTCTGTATGCCCTAAACACAAACACGAGCACGCAGACACAACGTGGTTAAGTGTGTGTGCGATTGTGCTTGTGTAGGCATTGGAGGTATTATTCGCGTGTTTTGCTGGTGTATAACAGTCGTAGTACAGTTTGCGTGCTCATGATATTTTTTTTTATCGTCTGTCAAAACTGATACCACTGCCTAGGTATATTCGCCGTCTCTGTCTTCCCTTACCAGTTTGTTAGTTTAAAATGTCAAATGACGCCAATTGATTATGAGAGTCTGCTCTTCGGCTCGCCCGCCCGACTGTCTGCGTGCACGATTTGCCTTTTCGCATGTCAAAGCGCGACAGGTAGAGCGCAAGACGATGTGAAAGAGCGAATGAGAGGAGGGGACTGGGGACTAGGCAAGACATTTGCTGTCTAATAAATGTTCAGCGTTCTTTTCTGTCAGTCGGCCAAGTTAGCGTGCCTAGAAAAAGCAAAAGGGCGGAGCGGCCCAAATTGACAGACATTTGGTTGTGTGCAAAGGGGAAGGGAGCAGATGGTTTATGGGCTGCACATTACTAACGAATAAACCGATATGTTTAACATGTGTCTGTGTGTGTATAATTGATTAATGTCAGAACTGTAACATTTGTGTTTTGGCTGCCGCTGCCAGGTGCCGAGTTGTTTAGTTGAGCAATTGAAGGGCGATTGTTTGTAGATATGCATTCACATGTATGTGTGTGTGTGTGTCTGTCTCTTAGATATGTTGGAATTGCATGTTGTCGTCAATCAAATTTGCCTTACTGTTTGCATTTTATACGAAATTTATTTAATTTCCTTAACACGCAATTAGTTTTATTTAAGTTTATTGCGGTTGTATTGCTGTCTCACTCGTACGCTCTCACGTCAAATCTGTCAAATTGTTAGCGTTGCCAGCCAGTCAAAAATCGGACGGCGAGCAAACAGCATGCGATCAAAGTGAGCCGCAATGACAATTCGTCTGAAGTGACATTTTACACTCCTCGTTTAAAACAGAAAATACTGAATTAAAATTTTAAAGAGAAATAAATATGAATACATTTGAACAAATTTCCAAGAATACAAAAATCGGTTACGAATTGCTCAAATTTTAAGTTGTCCAATTAAATTAATTGTGTCCTTAGCATTTTAAATTCAATAACTTTTTACATTTTAACACAATGACTTTTTCGTTCAATAGGGCACCTCACGACCGCGATTTTGGATCCGGACCACGTGGCGGACGCGACCGTGATGAAGACCGACGTGGCGGTGGTGGATCACGTTTTGGTGGTGGCGGCGGCGATTATCACGGCGTGCGCAATGGTCGCATTGAGAAGCGTCGTGATGATAGAGGCGGCGGATCGCGTTTTGGCGGCGGAGGTGGAGGCGGCGGCTTCGGCGGTGATCGTCGCGGTGGTGGCAGCCAAGACTTGCCCATGCGCCCAGTGGATTTCTCCAATTTGACACCGTTCAAGAAGAACTTCTATCAGGAGCATCCCACGGTGGCCAATCGGTCGCCCTATGAGGTGCAGCGATATCGCGATGAGCAAGAGATCACAGTTCGCGGTCAGGCAGCCAACCCCATACAGGACTTTTCGGAGGCCTATTTGCCCGACTATGTTTTGAAAGAGATTCGCCGCCAGGGCTACAAAGCGCCCACACCAATCCAGGCCCAGGGCTGGCCGATTGCAATGAGCGGCGCCAACTTTGTGGGCATTGCCAAGACAGGCTCGGGCAAGACGCTCGGCTACATTCTACCAGCCATTGTACACATCAACAACCAGCAGCCACTGCAGCGCGGTGATGGTCCCATTGCCTTGGTGCTGGCACCTACCCGTGAGCTGGCTCAACAGATTCAGCAGGTGGCCACCGAGTTCGGTTCGTCCTCCTATGTGCGCAACACATGCGTCTTTGGCGGCGCACCGAAGGGAGGCCAAATGCGTGATCTCCAGCGTGGTTGTGAGATCGTCATTGCTACACCCGGTCGCCTCATTGATTTCCTCTCGGCGGGCGCTACCAATCTGAAGCGTTGCACCTACTTGGTGCTGGACGAAGCCGATCGCATGTTGGACATGGGCTTCGAGCCCCAGATTCGCAAGATTGTCTCACAGATTCGTCCCGACCGCCAAACACTCATGTGGAGCGCCACCTGGCCCAAAGAGGTGAAACAGTTGGCAGAAGACTTCCTCGGCAACTACATACAAATCAATATTGGCTCCCTGGAGCTATCGGCCAACCACAACATTCGCCAAGTGGTAGATGTTTGCGACGAATTCAGCAAGGAAGACAAGTATGCTAAACATTTCAATCTCAGCCTGCTTTATACTCATTTCCTTCTATATTTTAATCTAGACTCAAGAGCCTACTGTCCGACATATATGACACCAGCGAGAACCCCGGCAAGATAATTATCTTTGTGGAGACCAAGCGTCGTGTGGATAATCTTGTGCGTTTCATACGCAGCTTTGGCGTGCGCTGCGGCGCTATCCACGGCGACAAGTCACAGTCGGAGCGTGACTTTGTTCTGCGCGAGTTCCGCTCGGGCAAGTCCAACATTCTGGTGGCCACCGATGTGGCGGCCCGTGGCTTGGGTAAGTTTTTAGCAAAGCATGAGAGAATTACATAATTAGTAGAGTATCCGCCGGCTGCCAAAAGATACACACACTCACACACTCGAACACGATTACACAATTGCTTAACACGCACGTAAAAACATTCGCACAGTGAAAGCTCGCTTTAACGGATATAGCTTGGAATGTAATAAAGTTGTTTTTTCTTAAACGGGAAAAATAAAACGGATTCGTTATTTAGCCTTTCGTCAATAGAGCTTTCACTGTAGCCTTCACTAGATATTGCCTATCCAAGCAACTTGAAAATTCCCGCCCCCTCATCAACTGCATCTAGACTTGAAGACAAGAACAAATTAGCGAACGCGAAATCAGATTTTTTGTTTGTTTTTAAATATATTTATAAATACCAACAGTTTTTAGTCGTAAGACCCGAACAAAGCAAAAACTTTAATAATCAACATACATTTTTTATTCCACACCCCCGCCCCGACCCAACCCTTGCACCCGTCCCTCGGCTCTGTTTTGATGCCAACCCTCGACTCG